CTCCAGAAACCGGTAGATACTTGGTTTCAGCAATTTCTTTAATAGCGTACTTATAAATTAAGCTTTTTATTCAGAATGAATCCCTCGTGTTATTCCCCACTGATATTAGAAGACATACAAATGTGGCTTTTTATTTTTTCATTTTTTAAGTTAAACCCGCCTTGTGGTGATAACTTTGGCACAATGTTACGGGGAAGTGCACGGTTAACCACTAATAATACATGTATTTATTTTTAAGTCATTGTTTAAAATGTCTTTAGCCACTGCTTTAATAAACTTTATTTGCCCAGACGAAAATATCCTTCTGCTCATAAAGTTCAGGACCAAGTGTCCTTAACTTTTGAACTTACAACTCTAAGTTCAGGACTTCAGGACTTCAGGATTACATGTCCTTAACTTTTGAACTTGCAACTCTAAGTTCAGGACCACCTGTCCTTAATTTCTGTGCTTGTAACTCTAAGTTAAGGACTACTTGTCCTTAACTTTTAAACTTGTTAGTCTAAGTTCAGGACCAAATGTCATTAACGTTTGAACTTGTAACTGTAAGTTTAGGACCAAATGTCCTTAACTTTTGAGCTTGTTAGTCTAAGTTCAGAACCTATTATCCTTAACTTTTGAGCTTGTTAGTCTATGTTCAGGACCTATTGTCCATAATTTTTGGGCTTCTTAGCCTAAGTTCAGGACCTATTGTCCTTAGCTTTTGAGCTTGTTAGTATAAGTTCAGGACTTCAGGACCTATTATCCTTAACTTTTGAGCTTGTTAGTATAAGTTCAGGACTTCAGGACCTATTATCCTTAACTTTTGAACTTGTAACTGTAAGTTCAAGACCTATTGTCCTTAATTTTTGAGCTTGTTAGTCTAAGTTTAGGACCAAGTGTCCTTAACTTTTGAACTTGTAATTCTAAGTTCAGGACCAAGTGTCCTTAACTTCTGAACTTGGAACTCGAAGTTCAGGACCAAGTTATAAAAAGAATAGAGACAAGGATTTGCAAGTTAGTTAGATTCTAGAAAAATTAAAATTAATTTTAGCAAGGATCAATTAAGCATATATAAAATATTGAGGTCAAACTTGCAAACGAACAACAATAACAACAAACAGAGTGAAATCTTATAAGTAGGGTCTGGGAGGATAAAGTGTATGCAAATCTTACCCCTATTTTTAGGGGCGGCCCAACGAGTTTTGTGGCCTAAAGCCAAACTTTACGAGGGGCCTCAACTTTTTTTTTAAATATTTATTTATTTGAAGTCTATTTTTCTAGCTAACTTAGATACAAAGTTATTAATAGTTTTCTTTTAATCAATAACTCCTAATAAGTCTTTCTTTATTGACAATATAGCTAATCCATTTAACTTTTCTCGAGATATTGTTGATCTTGGGTAAGATGTTATCAATTTTAATTTTGAAAGCTTCTTTCTGATGAAGCGCCGGTAACAAGAGTTATTAACATTATTCCATAAGCAATATACGCATTGGAAAAAGAATCAAATCTTTTTATTTGACCGAGTGTATCAATTAAACTGTTATCATCTAATAGTTTTCTTAATACTTTCATATTCCGAAAATAAATCTAAATCATCTATATCGAATTGGTTATTATGCTTTAAGGAACATTCAAGATTAAGACAATTTTTTTTCAAGATTTTAATCATCTAGTGATCTTAATTTTTAGTGCTAAAGAAGAAACAAAAATTATTTCCATATACTTCGAATTGTTCAAATCTATTTTGAAGTAAAAAAAAAATAGTCTTGTCTACTATGTATAAAGTAATCAACTCCAAAGGACTCTTCGAAAGATTTTTAGATTTTATTATCAACATTCTCATCAAAATTGTCATTTCCTATATATCACATGTTTCTTACAAAATTCGGGTTTGATATTCATTTCAAGTGTAATTTTCTTGGCAAAAATCATAGCAGTTGCAAATCCTCTCTATACTTGTTAAAGAAAGAAATTAATTTTTTTCACTTTACATAATCTTTTTTTAAACTTATACATAGCCTATTAGGTATAACAAAAAATGGGGCCCCCACAATTATGAGGCCTAAAGTCGTTGCTTTACTTGCTTTATGGAAGGGACGCCCCTGCCTATTTTATGATGGTAGAGAGGTCGTTACCAAAAGACCATCGGCTTAAGAGAAGTGACAATGAAGCAATAAAGAGATAGTAGCAACAAGAAGTTATTAAGACACGGAGAGGCCAAACTTGCAATCGGTGACATTTAAACTAGTCTTAATTCAGAATTTAGCGACAAAAAATACGCTTAATCACAAACTAGTTAAGGTGCGCGATGTGGATCATCATTAATCACGCCGCAACACTAAAACTAGTCTTAATTCAGAATTTAGTTTTAGGCTCCTTAACACTAAAAAGTGCTCTATTACTAATACAATTAGCTCTTTTCGGAATTCGATTTCAAGGAATATAAAGCTTTTCTTCTGGGCGTACGTAGCACTTTCGATGTAGAGCATAAATTTATGTGTACAAATCTACTAAAATTGTAACAAATAGTATATATGAACCCATAACTTTTGATGCGGAGAATAAATTTATGTGTAAAAATCTACTAAAATTATAACAAATAGTATATATGAACCCATAAATTTAAGAATAAAATGGGTTCAATACTAAAAATCTTAAAGGTTGAACCAATAAAATTTAAATCTTGAATCCGTTTCTATCTGAAGCGTCTTAATTAATTCGTAGCTACCGAAGTGTAGCGCTGAGGTGAGGAGTGCAAAAGAAACAAAAAAAATTGGGGACTTTTTCCTTCCTATACCATATATGAAATATTATTACCAAAAATGTGCATAGTTTCATATTTACCCGCCATGTTCACAGTTATTCTACAAATATTATACCATTCATTAAATACCAATTATTAGGAGCTGATTCTTTCCTAGTTAGGCGCGCTACAAATCTGGAACTAAATATTTTTCCAGATATTCCTATTTAGGCGTGCTACAATTATGGAAGTAAATATTCTTCCAGATATTTCATTAAATAAAGAATCATTGTAGCGTTAAAATTTCTTATTTAGATATCTCTAATTTTTTTTTTCTCTCTGAGAGATCAAATGACGTGAATAATCAGAGAGATAGAGTATGAGACCGGTTTTTGAAAATTGTTCCTATTTTCACCTAATCTTTCTGCTTATAGTCTCACTTAAACTTGTAGCTAAAAATATCGTTATATTTTTTTTCATGAAAAATAATAAGTTGACAAATCTAATAATTGATGTCACTAGGTAGTATTTTTCAAACTCGACAAAGTAGTTGATGTAGCTTTCTAACATATTTCCCTCAATCTATAATTGAGAATACTATAATGAATCTTTAAGATTATGTCTAGTCGAAAATCCCAATGAAACTACAATCGAATAGGAATTGAGATATTAAAATTCAAAATACCCAGTTTGTAGATATTTTGTAAATTATTTGTATTATAATTGTAGATACTTTGTTTTTTGTTTCACAAATAAAAAACGACTAAAATTTCTACAAATCTTCTGCAAATAACGCAATTATATCGAAAATCCCAATTATGCTACAATTGAAATAGGAATTGGGATATTAAAATTAAATGTACCCAGTTTGTAGATATTTTGTAGATAAATTGTAGATTATTTGTATTCTGATTGTAGATGCATTGTTTTCTGTTTTCACAAATCCAAAACGACTAAAACTTCTACAAATCTTCTGCAAAAAACGCAATTATGTCGAAAATCCCAGTTATGCTACAATTGAATTGGGGATTGGGATATTAAAATTCAATGTACCCAGTTTGTAGATATTTTGTAGATAAATTATAGATTATTTGTATTCTTATTGTAGATGCATTATTTTCTGTTTGCACAAATCCAAAACGACTAAAACTTCTACAAAATCTTCTGCAAAAAGCGCAATTATGTCGAAAATACCAATTAAGCTACAATTGAATGGAAATTTGGGATATTAAAATTCAATGTACCCAGTTTGTAGATATTTTGTAGATTATTTATATTCTGATTGTAGATGCTTTGTTTTCTGTTTTCACAAATCAAAAACGACTAATACTTCTACAAATCTTCTGCAAAAATGCAATTATATCGAAAATTCGTTTTAACTTTAAAAATCAACATCCACAACCCTAAAGAGATAAAAACAAAAATAGTTGCTAGGGAAATTCTTTCTAGTTAAACAAATGGCAAATAACCAAAAAGGAGTCGGTGGTCATAGATTAAATTTAAAAAAAAGTTGGAAACAAGGAGCTCTTCAGATCTTGACTAGCCAACTAAGTCAATTGGTTTGCATAAAATAGAAGTACACACTAAAAGTTACTCTGCAGTAAAAGACATTGCTATTTATGAAGTTTTTGTAACCCGAGGCTGCCAACAGAGACCCCTTTCCAGTGTAGGGCGTGGGGTTTTGGCGTAAAAGATATAGCATTTTTTTTCACTGAATGTAGACGGAAAAAATTTAAATTGAACTTTAATGGTGGGTTAACGATGTTTCTACGGTTTTAGAAGAGGGAAAAGGGGTAAAAAGAACGTGTGTTTGAGTAAAACGTGGGTGAGGATGAGGGTTTGGGAGAGAGAAACGTGGGAGGGGTGGGATATACGGTACCTTGAATTAAGGAGGGATATACGCTACATTAATTGTACCCTTAAAATACACTATGGTATAGAATTGATAATTTGGTATACTAAATGTAATTATATCAAATCTTAAATATTGAGGGTAATAAGGTTTCCTATATGGTATAAGAATGTAAAAATTCCTAAAAAAGAAGGCATATAATAAGATTTGGGCCTAGTATATCTTTGCAATACTTAGCCAATCAAATAAATTATTGGGCCTGACTTAGGTATTTGGTTAGCCCAATTTTAGATGCACAAGCATCCAAATATGTATATCTCCATCTTAAACCACACAAAAAACGACGTTATAGAGATAGAATAATCCACACATGTATTTGGTGAAGCCATTGAAGAAATAAACACAATAAGCTTTTCTACCCCNCTTGTGGAGATAATTACCATCAATTATTAGTACCTACATTGAATTCCAAATATCGAAATGCAAATGCTAATTTTGCAGAATCATTAAAGTTTGCTCATAAAAACAGAAGAAAGCAGGCGGTAGTGAGAGGAAGTAGTGGTGGGGAAAGGCGTAGTTTCTTGACACTAGAAGAAGCTGGCCTTGTCGAAGTGTCTGGCCTCAGCACTCACGAACGTTTTCTATGTCGATTGACGGTACGTTATGGATTTAACTTATATATACTGACAATACAATTAAGTTTACGTTATGTAGTGCATTCTAGCTTGTTATAACATGTGATTTGCTTTATTTTCTATGTTATCAAGTTATTATAGTCAGTAACATGTTGCTAATGTATATCATCTTAACCTTATGGTGTAAAAAGGTTATACATTATTAGTGTATAAAAATTAAACTCTTATACTATATTCTTTTCAAAAAAAATTGGGATGGGAATAAGTTTGTGAATAGAGGACAAATAGAAGTGAGCGAAAGGAGTAAATTCGAACCACAGGAAAAAAAGTATGATGAGACATAATTTTGTTGAAATTTATAAATGAAGAGGCTCTTACATTTTTGTAAGTATAATCAATACAATTGTGTTGTGCAGATTTCGTCACTGAATTTATTAAGAGTGATAGCAGAGCAAGAAGGTTGTTCAATTGAGGAATTGAATGCTGGTAGGATATGTGATTGGTTCTTGAAAGATAAGCTAAAGAGAGAACAGAATTTGGATTCTGCTGTCCTTCAATGGGATGAATCCGACTTCCAGCTATAATTCCAGCCTCTGAATAGTAGCTGACTCAGTTCTTCTCATATTGAAAGGAATAAAAGAGGAAAAATCAACAAAACATCAACTTTTTCCTACTAATACTCCATATCTTCTTTATTTCCTAGGAATGCGACCTTTCTCGGGACCCTACATAAATACGAGATATTTTAGCTTTGGGATGTCACTGAAATCTATCATTAGATAGATTAATTTTGTTGTTTGCTTCTGTTATCTTAATACCTTGTTGTTATTGTTTGTTGATTCCTTTTCACTATCCTTTGAGCCGAGGGTCTATCGAAAATAGCTTCTCTACCTTTACCTTGTCAAGGTAATATCTACGTGCACATTACTCTCCCTAAACCCCACTTGTCGTCGTTGTAGATAGATTAATTTCAGGGATGATCATCATGGTCATTAGATAGGTTAATTCCACGGATAATCATCATCCTTTCAGTTTATTGTATCAAAGTCTTATAAGTTATTTTGTCTAAATGAGGGGAAAAAAATCATTAGGCATATAAGACTAGAAAATGCTAAATTTGGTTGCGGAAATATTAAGTACACTATCATTTCAACAATTCATCTTACATAACATCCACGTATACGACTAAACACATTTTAAGCAAAAAAACATTTTTTTTTTTTTGAATTAGCTAATAAATCAAGGACTTTCCTTCTACTTGCTAAGTTAAGCAAATTGATACTACTTCAAGGGATATTGTACGTTAAATTTGTAGTCGGGGATTTGTAATCGGGGATTGTCCTCCCGATTAATACTTGCGAAATTTGCTTCTTCAGGAATGATTTCTCTGAAGGCGCACGTTAAAAAGGGTTAGCTAACTTACGCACGACGATGATGGCTCGACGGAAATCACAGATAATTGCACCGCCTACAATACCGGAGACCGATGAAGGAGGTAGATTGGTAACACTGGAATCAGGGGTACCACAAATGATAAGCCAAATGCAACTAGTTCACTGGATAACTGGAATGGGAAGTGCACCAACCGTCATGCAAGCTTCAAAATGTGTTGAAATGGAGAAGCCCAAACTAGTAGAGGTAGATGTTAACACAGCAACAAGGAAGCTGACTTTCTCAGTGCAACAACCAAACCCTAGTCGATCAGAGCCGACTTTAGCTGATGTGGTCAAAGGAAATAAATCTCAGCAACATGGGATGCAATTGGAATATTATCCACCAATTTTGAAGGAAGGAGTGAACATTGTACGACTAAATCAAACAGAGGTGGCAGAGCAAACCTAGGAATGGAAAGCAGCACTAATTGGGTATGAACTGCATGGAACTCCCTCCTTCAAGGAAATGCTAAAATTTGTGTATGGTGTGTGGAATTTCATCACAACACCACTAGTATTCCTACACAATGATTGGTACTTTATATTTAGATTTAGCTATGAGGAAGATAAAAACAAAATTATATAGCAAGGTCCATATACATATCATATTAGACCCATGATATTGAAGCAATAGGCGACTAATTTCCATATGAGTAAAGAAGTGACTCGAACCGTGCCAATTTGGGTCATATTTCCAGGATTACCAATTCAATTCTGGACTAAGGAGAATTTGGGACATATAGCCAGCTATCTAGGAAAACGTATATTTTCAGATAAACTCACAGCTGAGGGATAGGATTTCCTATGCACGTATGCTTATTGAAATGAATATATCTCAGGAGTTACCAGATACAATGCCTATAGAGGAAGCAGATGGCAAATATAGAGAACAAGTCCTTGATTATGAATGGAAACCTTCATTTTGTGAGGGGTGTTTTCAAATAGGACAACATGCTGACAATTGTGAGAAGGCTCCATCAGTAATGCAATAGAAGCAAACCAATGAACACAAAGACAACATGGAGAAACATGATAAACAGCAGAGGCAGATGACAGCAGTTAAGCAACAACAGTTAAGCAATAGCAGAGAAAACAGCCTGCTGCCCAGTGGAGAGTTAAACCTGTTGTTGAGCAAACAAAAGAGCAGGAAAACCAGAATCCTGAACAAGCACATAAACAACAGGAAATTCAAACTAGTACAGAGCAAATTAATGAACAAGAGGTGGAAATGCAGCCACAACAAAAATCTAGAGGGAAGCAAAAGATGAAAGCTCAAGGACAAACACAACAGAGAGTCAGAAGGGAGCGCTAACTGATGCTAATTTAGAGAATATGCTGAGGAAAAACATATATAGTCCATTGAGAATACAGGAAGATAGCAGCACTGAAAAGGTGACTGAAGGGATTGGCCTCAACGAGGAAAATCCACCATGATAATAAGTTCCTGGAATGTAAGAGGGCTGAACAAGCCCTTTAAGCAGAAAGAACTCAAGGACCTTCTCCTTAAACACAAGATCACTTTACTAGGCTGCCTTGAGACAAATATAAAGCCTAGGAGTATTAGCAAAGTTAAAGGAAAGTTCTGTAAAGAATGAAAAGTGTATTCAAATAAAGCTATAAGTAAAATTGGGAGAATCTGGCTCTTTTGGAAGGAAAACATGGTGCAAGTCCACATACTTCTGGTAACTACCCAACTGATACACTGCCAAGTGAAGGATAAAGGAACACCATTTTCATGTTACATAATATTTGTATATGGGAAGAATAAGATAAATGAAAGGAGAGATCTATGGGAACAACTCAGACAGATTCATAGTACTATGCATGAGGCTTGGTTAGTCATAAGGGACTTCAACAATATTTTGTCTATCAATGATAGGATCAATGGGCAACCTGTGCATCAAGCTTAACTTGTGGACTTTCAAGAATGCATAAAGGATATTGGATTGGGGCAGTTAAATAGGAAAGGCTGTCAATGGTCATGGTGTAATAAAAAGTATGCAGGGAGTAGAATATATAGCGACATTGATTAGGCGTTTGGGAATGCTTCATGGCTTACACATTACAGTAGCCTAGAGGCTGTTTTTGAAATGCCTGGAGTATCTAACCATTCCCCTATTATTATCGACACGGATGTAGCCAAAAATCACTTGCCAAAGCCTTTTAGACTATATAATGTGCTGCTAAATCATAAGGAGTTTAAAGGGGCTGTCCATGAGGTGTGTAACCAACAAGTACAGGGGCATACCATGTACTCACTTTGGCTGAAATTACAGAGGCTAAAAGACAAAACACAACAAATGAACAAGGAGATATCTTCACTGGAGAAGAAGCTTGGCAATCTCAGGGTGCAGCTGCAGAATACCCAAGGAAAACTTGATGAAGATCCATTCAATACCCAATTAATAGCCAAGGAAAAGAAATTGCTTCTGCAGATTGAAAGATGGGAAGGGGTAAATGAACAAGTACTTAGACAGAGATCCAGAGCAATGTGGATAAAAGCAGGTGATCAGAACACTAAATTCTTTCATGCTCACTTGAAGGCCAGACAATCTAGGAATAGAATAACATCTATATGCAATGATCAAGGGCTTAGAGTGACAGAGCCAGTATTGATAGAACAAGAATTTAGAGGTTTCTTTCAAACACTCTTGGGCACTTCAGCTACAGAACTTCCTTGCATTGATATTGATACAGCCAGGAATGGGCACTATCTAACCAAGGAGCAACAACAACTATTCAATGCACAGGTAACAGAGGAGGACATTGACCAGGCCTTTAAAGACTTGCCAAATGATAAGGCTCCTGGAATAGATGGATTTTCAGCTGAGTACTTTAAGGCATACTGGTATGCTATTAGATGAGAGGTTAAACGAGCAGTACAAGGGTTTTTCACTAATGGAAAACTATTGAAAAGTGTCAACTGCACAACAGTAATATTGATGCCTAAGGTTGCTAGCCCCACATCTGTCAAAGAATATCGACCTATAGCATGTTGTTCCACTGTGTACAAGATCATCTCAAAGATCATTACAGCAAAGTTGAAGATGGTGGTGAATTTCATTGTGGGACCTTCTCAATCAGCCTTCATTGAAGGGAGAAACATACTGGATAATGTCATCATTGCTCATGAACTGGTCAAGGGATATACTCAAAAAGGGGTCTCACCAAGATGCTACACTAAAGTAGACATAAGAAAAGCTTAAGACTCAGTCGAATGACCTTTTTTAAAGATGATACTGCTAAAATTTGGAATGCCTGCAAAGTTTGTGCAATTGATAATGGAGTGGGTGACCACTATCAGCTACTCCTTGCTACTGAATGGAGGCTTGAATGCTAAATTCCAAGAAAAGAAGGGACTAAGACAAGGAGACCCAATGTCTCCTTACCTGTTTGTTTTGGTGATGGAGTACCTAAATAGTGCTTTGAAGAGTTTGAAGTTCAATCCAGACTTTAACTACCATCCAAGATGCTCCAGAAATAACATAACCTACATATGCTTTGCTGATGATTTTATTTTATGTTGTAGAGCAGACAAGGTTTCTATAAGCCTACTACTGGAAAGGTTTAATAATTTCTCTCACGTGTCAGGTCTCAAGGCCAATATGGAGAAGAGTTCTCTATACATTGTTGGTGTTACTAGGGAATTCAAAGAAATGATCTTAGAAGAAATACAATTCACACTAGGGGAGCTACCATTTAAATATCTTGGAGTACCCTTGTCTTCAAAGAAATTGAGTATACAACATATGCCATTGATTGAGAAGATCACTGCTAGGATCAACTGTTGGACTGCTAAATTTCTCTCATACAGTGGAAGACTTCAGCTACTTAAGAGTGTGGTATTTGAAATGCAGACATATTGGGCACGTGTGTTTCTATTGCCAAAGAAGATTATTAATCTAATACTTACAGCCTGCAAAACCTTTCCGTGGACAGGAAGCAGTGAACCATCGAGGAGGGCCTTAATAGCATGGGATACAATTTGTATGCCATTTCAGCAAGTGGACCAAATGTTCTGGATATTCACTTCTGGAATAAGGCTGCCTTATGCAAACTGATGTGGGCTATAAGTGCAAAGAAGGACACCCTGTGATCCAACAGATCCATAGCTTCTACATTAAAGATCAAAATGTCATGACAATAGGCGCTCCTAAGCAGGCTTGTTGGCTTATTAGGAAGATTTTTTATGCCGGGGACTAGTTCATTGAAAAGGAGCCCAGCTGCTGATTTGAACCGCTGCCATAAGCAAGGAAAATTCATCATCAAGCAGCTCTATATTGCAACAAGACATCAGTACCAAAAGAGTCCTTGGAAGAGATTAACAATAGGATCCAAAGCACTGCCAAAACACCAGTTCATACTCTGGTTGATTTTACTATGTGGATCATCAGTAGCGACCAAAGAGATGGGGAATATCAGTAGCGACTGTGTACTATGTGGAAAGAATGTGAAGGAGACAATGGAACATATGATGTTTGCATATGATTACTCCAAAACTATATGGGCTACTTTACTACAGTGGATAGGAGAAAGACATCAAATTGGAAGCTGGGATGAGGAAATTGAATGGATAACAAGGAGGGCTGCCAGCAAGGTTAGAGGTAATATGCTAGTATTTTTATTTGTAGCAGTGGTCTACCACACCTGGGCAGAGAGAAACCAAAGAAGATTTCATGGAAAGATGATTGCCTGCACTCAGAGGATTAAAGACATTGTATTGGAATTACACATTAAAGGCAGAGTGAATCCAAATGGTAAAAAGAATTAGAAAGGCTAAAGAATTTTCTCAGCTAGATTGAGTTAATTGCAAGTGTAACAGGAAAATGTTTAATCTGTTTGGTCATATAGTTATTAGATAAGGTCTAGCTCTAGAGTCCAATTGAGCTAGCGATTGTAAATACTTATACTTGGTTAAATAAATATTTGACAGTTTAACCAAAAAAATACTTTCAACATGTGACACCAAAATTCCATGTTTAGGATCGAAACTTCTCGAGCTGAACTAAAACTGTTTTATTTTATAAATATGAATTTGCCAATACTTTTAAACCCTTGATAGGTGGAGGAGATTGGCTGTATGGCCTCTTATAAATATTTTTAATTAAAGATTAATAAAATATAACATGTGAGATTAATAAACAAAATATACTTTTATGTATTTATAAGCTTTTTTTTTCTATTCAAATTATAACCGGTCAAACGAGGTCATTCCCTCTGATAAGCTGGCTTGTTAAGGCTGAAAATTTGTAACAAATAACATGCTCTTCATTTTGTAGACAAGTCCATAATTTATGGTGCAATTTTTTTTTACATTATCAAGGAATATAATTTAAATCTTTTACAAAAAACAATAGGGCGTCTATGGTCAAAACAAGGTTAATTGTATCTAAAACATCATCGTACCATCGTCCTATGAGTTGCCAAGTCATCTCGCCGGAAAATTTGCCGGGGTCAGATCAATCTCGATCAAATTCTCTTCTTCAGCTTCACAACTCCTCTTCCCGTCCAATTCAATCTCTATCAATCCTTCCTTATCTTCTTCCTCCCACCGAAAACACAAATTCTCCGGCGAGTCCCAATTTCCCGTAACCGGTGAATCCCGCCCGACGAACTTTCCGTACCCGTATCTGTTTCCGGGTAATAGAATTCCCCATCTTCAAACTCCTCGTGAATCACCTCCGGTGGAGCTCTCACGTTCCATTCAACGAATGATTCTGCGTAAAACGGATTCAGTTTCGGGTTGAAGTTCGGGTTCGGGTCAAAATCCGGGTCTTGCTCGGTTTTGAGGTCCACACTGGATTCGCACGACACCCATTTGTAATCATGATCACCCGAAAGTATAAATGGAACCCGTCTCGGGTTCGGGTCAAAATCCGCGTCTTTTTCAGTATTCGGGTCCACATGGGATTCCCGTGACTCCCATTTGGAATCATGATCACCCGAAACTAGAAATGGAGCCGGTTTCGGGTCAACCCGGGAAACCAGTGATGGTGATTTTTGGGTGGAAATGAATTCTTCTGAATTGGGTTTCTTTTCTTTTCCTTCGTGATTTTCCTCTTGGTTGGTTTTCTGAGTTTGACCAAGTCTTAGAAGGGAAAGTAAAAGAAGTGAAGTGGAAAGGAAAACGGGAGAGAAAAGAATTATTTGGTAATTGGCGGTGAAGTAGAGAAGAATGAGAGTGTAAAGACTGATGATGGTTGAGAAGAGGGGGTTTGAAGGCGGAGAGGAAATTGTTTCTCCGTGTAAATTAGCCATAGCATTGGGAATTTGATTCGGACGGAAAGGAATTTATTTTGTTCCATTTTTTTTAAAGAGAGAGAGAGAGGAGAATGAATTCCATGTTTAGATTTTTCTTTCCCTACATTACGGCCAATAAGGGTGCGCAATGAATTGAATATTCCATGAATTTCAATTTGCATGACATTTAATTTAAATTTGAAATTAAATTAGATTAGTTCAACTCACTATTTTAAAATTAAATTTAAATAATTAAGAACTATACGAAAAGTATGATAAATATAGTATTTTTTTCTCATATCAATATAAACATAAAATATATTTTAAAATATGACTCAAACCTCATATAATTTGACTCTAGATATGCAAAATATGTCCTCTAGATTGAGACGGATGGAATAGAATAATAGTTTGTTTGCCCAAATTTCTTTTTAGCCAAAAGTATTTTTTTCTATAGTTAAGGTGCTTGGACATACTTTTGGAAGAGAAAAAACTTTTGAATAGAAGCAGAAACCGTTTTTGAGAAGTAGAAAAATGTAATTTCTCTCAAAAAAGTTTTTAGAAAAATATTTTTGAAAAAAATATACTTAAAATTGCTTTTTAAAAGCTTGATCATATATTAATTACTGCTCAAAAATAATTTTTAAATTAATTATCCAAACATAAACCGTTTATTAGCAAAAATAGAAAAATACTTATTAAGTTAATTTTAGAAGGTTAGGCCAAACAAGCCATAAGACCAGAAGGAATGAAATTTCCGGTAAGAGTGATTGAATGAGCATATTGATACAATGTACTCTATTCATTTGATTCTTTTTATATAGAGATATCCATGATATAGTGAGAGAGGAAAAGGAAAAAGTGAAATGGTCCTCTCATGTTGAGTGGGTTAAATATATATATTTGCACTTGTTACTTGCATCAAATAAATAAATGTAAAATATGTGTGTTTTATATAAATATCTATCACTTAACTATGATTTATGATTTGTATTTTTACTTTAACGTTTAACTGCTAAAATTAAATTATTTGATATGATATAAATATTGAGTATGTACAAATATTTATCGTTCAATGAAAATATTTATTACTCTTCGAATATCTTAGAAGGGAGAAGAAAAAAAGCAACTAATTTTGGTGGTCATTTTATGTCAATCGATTGTCCACTAGGTTGCCTTAGTACATTAAGTTAGAATGTCTGCAATGATTGGAATCCATTAAGTGCAAGCAAGGGTGAAGTGAATTGAATATATTGGAGGAAGAAGACAAGGGAAAAATGGAATTTGATTGAATGAGCATACGGACACCACGCATTGTATTCCTTTGATTCTTTATATAAACATATTTAGGGGTAGCAAATGGGCGGATCATATTATTCGACCCGATTCAAATTTAATACGAATAGAAAATGAGTTTATCGATGGATAATATGGATATATTCATATTATCTATGGCTTTTTTAATATGATCACTTTTCGGAGAATTCTTAGTATCTCAAACTTAAGGAACCCCCAATTTTAATCTTTACAAGTATAAAAGTTAAACCTATTAGTTGTCCATTGATTATTCATTTTCGAATAGAGGAAAGGAAGAAGAGAAATGGTTATGCGGGGTAGTGATTGCAGGAGTAGAGGAAAGGCTTTAGGTGTATAAAACATCATTTTGGTGAAAAAGAGGTGTGTCAAAAGAATTTAGGTATAACTTCTGGAGGCAAGGTATGTATTAGGGGTGGGCGTTCAGTATTTCGGTATTCGGTTTATCAATTGTGTATACCAAATACCATACCAAAATATTTTGGTACGGTTCGATATTTCTTATTTTGGTTCGGTACGGTCTCGGTTTAACAATCAATGAATAATCAATGCTAAGTGCTAACAGTGCACATGCACAATTGAAATTTTCACATGGTAATTCAGTGATTCACAATGTGCACAACTGCACAATGTAACAGTGCACAACTGCACAATGTGCGCATGGTTGAAACAAGAATAACATATTATATTCTGGCAATTCTGGCCAACTGCAATTAACACTTGACAGTTCAATACTGCAATTAAATCTGTACACAAACACAACTACACAACACAACTTAACAGTTGACACAACTGGCCAACTGCAAGTCTGCAACAGTCTGCACATTACACAACTTAACTGGCCAACTTAACTCAATACTGCAATTAACTAGCCAACTGCACATTACACAACTTAACACTTAACACAGTACACAATTGAATCTGTACACAACTACACAACACATTACACAACTTAACACTTAACACTTAAACACAGTGTAATAAAAACACAGTCCAACAAAAATAGTCTTAACACTTAAACACAGTGCAACTGGCCAACTGCAAGTCTACAGCAGTCTTAACAGTCTTAACACTTAAACAGTTAAACATAGTGCAACAAAAATAGAGAGGGCATCCCTCAACAAACAGTCTTAATTCTTAAACATGAATTCCAGGAAGACGCGCAAGACAACGCTTAATATGCTTCCTTAAATCAATTGTTCCATTCCTCTTTGGATTAACATTATATACTTGACCACAATGTTTGCACTCTACTTTGCGAACTTCTCCGTTATCTTCTTTCACCACAAAGTATTCCCAAATATCGGAGCGTTGAGCAGTAGCACGGGGCATGATTGCACTTGAACCTAAAAAAATATAAATCATAAGTTAGAATATTATAGTTTGATGATAATAAAACAAAACTACAAACTATTAAGTATATCATTATCACCAAACAAATAGAGTATTAAACTTACCACTCAAGATGCAAGTTGCAACTATACATCAAACAATGCTAGTAGTGCTTCCATTATTTTCCATATCTAAAGATAATACGACCAAATATGTCATACAAATGAAAAAGCATGATATATTATTTTGAATTAAAGTACACACAAAATATTAAAGCTTACCAAGCTCGAGTTCCTCAAGATACTTCAAGTCTTCTTCAACACTAATAGGATTCTTCTCTTCTCTAAGCCAATCTTGAACACAAATAAGAGCTTGCACACATTTAGGAGTCAATGAACTCCTAAATGAATCAAGAATACGGCCACCAGTGCTAAACGCGCATTCCGACGACACACTAGATTAAACAAATATAAACATAAATTAAAAATTAATAAATTAACTACCTTGCTATCAGTAATGCTGAGAGAATGTAAATATGAGAGTGCACTTTTAGATTTTAGTTATTTCAAACTAGCTATAAGTAGCTTAAACTACCATGTTTCTGCTATAACTAATTAACAACATCTTTCCAACAGATGCAGCAGCAGTCTAATGTAACTGCAGCTAAGCAAAAGCTAAAAAGGCTAAAGAAGCCATTAACAATATCTTTTTCTAGCCATCTATAAATAAATAAAAAACCATGGCCATTACTACTCAAGTGACAAGTCCACACTCCACAATTATTTAAATCTTTCCAAAC